CTCGCCTGCCACGCGGGCGGCCCGGGTTCGATTCCCGGCCGATGCATTTTTTTTTTTTTTTTACAATTTTTAAAACTCATTAATATATTATACAAGAATGACACAACGGCGCCAATTTATAATTGTAACGAATAGTATTTAAACAAAAGCATTTAATCGGGTAAAACCCGGGCGTTGCCCAGGTCATTCGTATATAATAATTGTATAAACGAATGCAAGACAAAATCACCGCGAATGTTTCTTTTTTTTAAGGCAATTTCTTTTTAAGGCAATTATCGTTATTTATCGTTAATTTTTGTTTCGATTTTATTGAAAAAAAAAAACGATATGGTGCCTTTAAAAAATGATCTTTATTACTATGCAGTTTTCTATTTAGTCAATATACCTAAGTTCATGTTGCAAATGTAATTATCTCTATCGATTTAGTAGGTGAAATGCAAAAAAAAAAAAAATCGACATGATATAATCTTTATGAAAATTCACATTTTTATTTTTATATTTTCAAGACACACACAGTTTGGGGCGGGACGTTTCACAAGAGAGACATCCACGGCGCCAATTTATAATTGTAACGAATAGTATTTTAATTAAAACGTTTTAAAAACACACAGTTTGGAACGCGACGTTTCACAAGAAACGTATATTATACGTTTATTATACAAGAATGACATCCATGGCGCCAATCTATAATTGTAAGGAATAGTATTTGAATTAAAACGTTTTTAAAATATATACGCACTCGGGTAAAACCCGGGCGTTGCCCGGGCCATTCGTCTAGTAATATATAAATGAGTTTTAAAAATTGTAAAAAAAAAAAAATGCATCGGCCGGGAATCGAACCCGGGCCGCCCGCGTGGCAGGCGAGCATTCTACCACTGAACCACCGATGGTTATGAAAAATCCCATCCGTGAGCTTCAGACAAACAAACAGACAAACAGACAGAATAAGGCAAATATATAAGTAGATACGAATGACCCGGGCAACGCCCGGGTTTTACCCGATTAAATGCTTTTATTCAAATACTATTCGTTACAATTATAAATTGGCGCCGTGGATGTCATTCTTGTATAATATATAAATGAGTTTTAAAAATTGTAAAAAAAAAAAAAAAATGCATCTGCCGGGAATCGAACCCGGGCCGCCCGCTTGGCAGGCGAGCATTCTACCACTGAACCACCGATGGTTATGAAAAGTCCCTTCCGTGAGCTTCAGACAAACAGACAGAATAAGGCAAATATATAAGTAGATGGAAATGGAATATTAAAATAAAATGTTATCATAATCATTGTGGCTACATTTTATGAAGATTTATTTATTTGAAAGGAAATTATTTGTAAATTTTAAAATAACTAAATATTTCAATGCTGAAATTTAAAAAAATATAATATTATTAATTAGCGCGCGATTCCTAAATTCCCGCGTAAAAAAAATAATAACACTCGCGACATTGCGCAACGGCACTGCAAAGTGAAACTTTGAAACCAAAAGTGCGTAGGCGCGATCCTTTCGGCGCCCGCCGATGTCGATCGTCGCCGCCGTAATACCTTTTTAGCAGTAAAGTTGTATGTAAAAAAACATTACCAAACACACATATATAATATGCTTTAGCAGACAGAGTTTAATGGGGGACCAAATAAGCTCTCATCCGGGACCGGCTGGGTATGCTAGGTAGAGACTTAGGGTACTGACAGACGCTCACTTGATGAGAAACCGAAAGATCCAATTCCATTCAGTTCTCTCAAGTCCAAGAGCTAAAATCTCTTCTTAACGTCTGTTTCTAAACGCTTTCATCCTATCGACATGTACAACTTTCACATCGTGCATGGTGACCCCTCTTACTCTAAAGTTAACATCGGAGACCCTAGCTTCCACACGGAAAGGTCCATAGACGTTGGAGTAACCTTCAGTCTTAGGAACAGCTAGCATTACCAGATCTCCTCTGTCGAAACTTTTGGTATAAGTTAGCCTAGGATTCATAAGCCTTTTAGCAGAATTACCTGACATAAACTGTCTGACAGTCTCCTTTGCTTTTCGCATCACCCTTAACCTCTCAGCCCAAGTAGGCTTACAAAACTATTAACAGACCCAGCGTTACACTCACAGCTTCTGTTAAACTCAGTAGGTGGCAACTTTACAGCCTCGTTTTCAATGCGTTTCACTGATTTCTCATCTATGGAACTTGACACCATTGGACTATGTTCACTGGCAACGCAGCTAAGGTCTACATAATCATGGTCTTCTGGTTTCAAGGAAATCATGTTTCCACGTCCCCGTATTGCAGGCAACTGGATATTCAATCTCCTTATATCATTGATTCCCAGAATTCCGTCGTAGCCTTTATCTCCGAGTGACATTAACCAGAATCTGATCTCTCCCAGCTCGCTGCCGTTTTCGTTATCAACTCTACAGGTTTTAACACGTGTAAGTGTCTGCTCGTGGCCTGTCACTGAACCTATATGTAAAGTTTTAAGTGTATCGTCCCAATTCTCCTTCAAGACATTACACTTTTCAGAATCAATAATACTGACTTGGCTTCCTGTATCGTATAACAGGTGCCACATATTGCCGTTAATATTCACCTTAACTATTGGCAGATTTCTAAACTGATCTCCGCCATATGAACGTATGTTCACTATTTCAGCATTGTCAAGAGTATTGCGGTTGGAAAACATAGAAGACTGTCTTGAGCAATCACTAGCTATATGTCCTAAGCTACACTCAGGTGGACTCAGCCTGATTTCGCCCAACAATTTAGTCAGTTTTTCTATCTCACCTCTAAGATCTGTAATACACTGCTCATTTTCGTGCTTCATCCTGTTTACACTGGCACTAAGCATCTTCATCTCACTCTTAATGCTATTTATTTCTTCAACCCCTTCTACTGAACATACCCCTTTCATAAAGCTGCAACGGTGTTCTACACTATCCTCCGTGGCCATGACACTGACTGCTTTGTCTATTGATTTAGCCTCACTGCGAACAATAGCCTCTCTATACTTATCGAGCATATTTTCGAGGAAAATTTCGAACACTAGGCTATCGTCAAAACTGTACTCTACTTTATCTCTAATGGCCAGGAATCTTTCTTCAAAAACCATAGGACTTTCCCCAACTCTCTGCTTAAGACCTTCTATTAATTTAAGGCATTCCCTAATACCACGCGCTTTCTTAGGGTACAATATGTTCAGTTTACTAGCAATACTTTTGAAACTGCTATCGTTACGAATACCCATCTCCTCTAAGCTCAACCTAACTTCAGGGGATAAAGCCTCGAACATGAGCAATGCTTTGACCTCAGGATCCCATTTGCCTACTCGTGCTTTAAGCTCGACTTCCCGAATGAAAGATTCGATATCAACCCATTTAACACTGACAATTTGAGCATAGAATTCGCGAACATGATGGAGTACAAAAAATAATAATAAACCACTCAATCAAAGAAAAAAACCGCACATAAAAATTACAGGAATTTACACGTGCAAAACACTAGTAATCCTGGCAGGGCTCGCCAATGACAAATGTTACATTTTACGGGTTAACACACAAATACAATATACTAGGGCCTACAGTAAGAGTAACTTAAACACAGAAAAATCGTGGACTCAAAAGTACAACATAAAAAAAAAAAAGTAAATAATAAATCACAATTTGTTAAATAAAATAAAAAACACAGTACTTAGCTTTATTGCTGCTTAGGTAGGGATCGGACCGGGGTTACACAGGTATGAGAGAAGATTGCCAGACAGGGATATAGCACGCAGAGAACACTTTAAGCGTCTCCACACGATAATCCACAACACTGGCTCGACCCATTATTATTATTATTCTGTACATAACCCGGACTCCTGGAGCGTACGAAAGTCGCCAACTGTCCGGGTTTGTCTTCTGACTTATTGTCTATTTGTTGCAGTTGACATCCAACTGATTAGATGTCGCCAGGCTGTTTTATTTTTGGGGAGGTTCTTCAATGCTTCTTGGTTGAATGTGCTGGTGTTAAGTAGAGTTGCAGTCTGGTATCTCTGAAGATGGTAGGATGGGCAACTGAATAGGAGGTGGTCGACTGTTTGATTTTCTTGGTGACAGTGTTGGCATACGGGGTCGTTGTTTTTGGAGGTTCTGGCGATGTCGGCCTGAACGAAGCCATGTCCTGTCAGAATTGTAGAGGTGATGTTGCAATATTTTAGTTTTGGGAGAATTGAGATTAGAAGACTAGGAGATGCAGCTACTCTTCTGAGGTTTCTTGTAGCATGGTCTGTGGTGTAGAGGTCGGTCCATAGTTGGAGGGCGAACTGTTTGCTTTGAGAGCGGACATATTTCCTGGGAAGGGTTGCGAAGTGTAAAGGCAATTTGGATTGAGCTGCGGCTTTGGCGACTTCATCGGCCTGTTCATTTCCAACGATGCCGCAATGACTCCGGACCCAGCAGAGTTGAACATTGTCCAGAGTATTGAGGTTTCTGATTATCTCTGCAGTAAGTGGGGTTCTAGGGATATCGGGGTGACAGATGGCATGTAGAGCTGCCTGGCAGTCGGAAGCAATGACAAAGTCTTGTCGCGGCATGATCTTAATAGATCTGGTGGCATAGAGAATCGCCAAAAGTTCCGCCTGGAAGGAGGTACAGCTGTTGTGGAGTTTAAGTTTCAGTGGTGAATAGGGAGGTGGGAGCACCACTGCTGCACCAACCCCGTTGGTTGACCGAGAGCCATCTGTATAAACAATAGTGGCCCGTTCTGGCAGTGACTTGGAGAATTGGAGAGGTCTTCTAAGAGGTGGGTAGGGTACCGAGGTAGGGTACCGTGGCTATTGTGAACCAAAAGCTCTGTCCCATTGGGGTTCACTATGGAGGGGTTTTACTGTATTATGTGTGACTATTCAATTGAATAATTTTAGTTATAAGTAATTAAACAAATATTATTAACAAAGGGGACTTATTTATAACGGTGTCGTGAAATTTGTGACCCTATATATCATATTAAAAATATATAATGAATATAGATTAGGCGTAGTACTAGTGGTAGAATGCTCGCCTGCAACGCGGGCGGCCCCAGGTTCGATTCCCAGCCGATGCATTTTTTTTTTACAACTTTTAAACTCATTTATATATTATACAAGAATGACATCCACGGCGCCAATTTATAATTGTAACAAATAGTATTTGAATAAAAGCATTTAATCGGGTAAACCCCGGAGGTTGCCCGGGTCATTTGGCTAGTATTATAATATTTATTGACTTTTGACAGCCTTTTGCTTTTAATTTAAAAGAGGTGTCAAATAGGAACCTGAATATTGATATTTTTAACTCATTTAGGTTTGTGAACAATCGCAGAAAAAATCGATTCGTAACTCCCAACTGTTTTTGGCTTGACTTTGTACCATGCATAAGATTTAAAAAGAAATATAGAAATGTGATTCATTTTGCTACTCTGGAAACTTCCCTCATTGCCTATCTTTAAAATCTTTATTTTGCTTTTAGCTTTAAATAAATTTCTGTGTCATTCTGAAGTAAAAATATTTACTGCCTAAAGTATCTTCAATTTTAATAACTATGAATGCCGGCCAGGCAGCCTCTATCTTTATGCTAATTTTCTATGTTACAATATTTTCTTGATATTAGAACTTTAATGATTAACCTTTGATATTTATTGTTTATATTATTGTAATGTAGACTCGGGGTTGATATATTACAAATGTGAGGCCAGTTTCTCTGCAATGTTGGAAACTCATCTCAAGAAACTGTCTTATTTAATTTAAAAATTCTTGTAGATCATTTATTATTATTTTGATAAACCAGAGGTTCCTGGAGCGTACAGAAGTAGCCAATTACACAGCTTTCCTTCTACCCTAAGTGTTCTTAGTTTTATTTACAATGCCAGTGGGAGTCCAATTCATAAAATGACGCCTTACTGTTCCAAAATCACCTTATTAGGTACAGCTCAAAAAGAGCAACCTAGTTTATGATATTTGCAACAATGAATAATATGTGAAGGTTATACACATTTTAACAAAATGTTAACGCGGGATCGATCACGGTTCATGACTGTTGGGATTCGAGGGTGTTACCCACTCGTCCCTTATTAGAGATATATTCTACTCGGCCAAATCCTTGTTGGGGAATAATTATAGATTCATAGAAGAAGAGAAAGATCCTCTATTACCTAAACGTATAAAATAATAAAAGAAGGAAGGACAAAGAGATCAAATTATATGTACATCAGCAGCTCACGCCGGCCTGCACTATTCACCTAACCGCTAGCCTACCAACAATCCAACAAGGCCGCGCTATATAGGCAGAGATGTCAATTTTAATAGACAATACTAAAATTCTATGCAAACACGAGAGTAATGTATCGTAGAAACATCCAGAATTGCTACTTTCAACAACCCCCAACGCAAGTAATAATTTATAATGTGAGAAGTAGTTTAAACCTTAATGTTCACTTAGCTCATTCGGATGTGGGTTAACTATTACTCAGAGAATATTTATAGGAAAGTTTATATAACTATTTATAAACTAAAAAAAGGCCCCATTCATAAAATGGCGCCTGGCAGATTTATTTATTTGAAGATATTTTATTGGGATACTAGACTTAGGTTAAGTAATCAATAAGAGGGTGGCAGTTATTTTTCTAGATAACATGGAAACAATGTAAACAAACATGGAATTCGTGAATCCTTCGAAATATTCAAATAAAATATGTATTTCTTCTACAACGATCCACGTAGGCCTTTTGAAATATAATTTGATATGAAAATATCAAAATATGATATGTTAAATGAAAATATGATATATTACACCTCAATAGAACAATATTAAATCAATTAATAAATATTAGGGGCATATATAAACATTATGAAGCAATATTTATAAAAATCATTATCAGGGCAAAAATAAGTGAATTAGTTCATATACAAAATTGATTCACAGTATGAATTTTTATGGGTTAAATGCCAGAAATAGGTGTGTAAGATCAAACTATATTAATTGATATAGAATACCATCCATATTATAGTAAAAATATTCCAGCAAATACAAGGTATGTCCCATAAGTTCCTGGACTGGGTCCATAAAAAAAAGGTAAGATATATATTTTTTTAATTATTGAAACTTTTCAAAGTTATCCCCCCTTGCTTCAAAGCACCAGCGCCATCGTTTTTCCCAATTGTCGAAACAGTTTTTATAGGCCTCTTTTGGAATGCTCTTCAATGCCGAAGCGATTTTTCTATTATGTCATCCCTGGTGTCAAAATGTCTTTCATTTAGAACTGCTTTAAGTTTGGGGATCAGGAAAAAGTCATTTGGTGCGATGTCTGGGGAATAGGGTGGTTGAGGTAGGATTTCTGTCCCGTTTTTCGCCAAAACACTCGTCACCAAGTGCGCTGTGTGAGGGCGGGCATTGTCATGGTGTAGGATCCAGTCACCATTAGTCCATTTTTCTGGCCTTTTTTTTCGAATCACTTCCCTTAGATGGCGAAGAATGCCCAAATACATTTCCTTAATGACTGTTTGGCCTGCATGAAGATACTCGTGATGAACAATGCCCTTGTTATCCAAAAAAGCAACCAGCAGCACCTTGTTTCTGGATTTCAATATCCTGGATATTTTGGGTCTAGGCTCACCCCGACCTCTCCACTTGGCAGATTGACGCTTGGTGTCAGTGTCATAGCCATAGACCCATGTCTCGTCGCCTGTGATTATTTTTTCTTTCCATTCATTCTTGCCATTTCCAACATGTCCTCACAGGTTGCAAGCCGACACTTTTTTTGCTTATTAGTGAGGAATATTGGGATGAATTTTGCAGGAGTCTTTTTGAGCTTCAAATCTTCGGTTACGATCCTACCAATCGTTGTTTTAGAGATACCTATGTCTTGCTCTAGCTCCAGCAAAGTGGTTCGAGGATATTATTTTATCAAATCGCGATTTTTTTGCACATTTTCATCAGTCCTTTGAAATTTTGGGCGTCCTTGACGAGGATCATCTTCAATGGAAATTCTGCTAGCTTTAATTCTAGAATGCCATTCAAAAACAGTTGTTCTCTTTGGGGCGTCATTGGGGAATGCTTTATTAAGCATTTCGAAAGTTTATGGTTGCTGATATTTGAAGTTTCACACAAAATTCTATGCAAATTTTCTGCTTCAATTTGTGTTCCATCCTAAAATCGCGGCAGCGCTAGGTGTGACCTTTAAATAAATTAGAATAACCTTGGCGCGCGCGCGTGTAACGCCTCAATATTGGTACCTCCGTGTTGCCAGATATTTTTTCTATAAAAAACAGTCAAATTTATTTACATTTTTCATTTATTTTTTTTTTTATGGACCCAGTCCGGGAATTTATGTGACACACCTTGTATATGATATTTATATATCTTAAAGTTTCAGAAGAATGGTATTCATGTGCCAGAAGAAACTCATTAATTTTATACTGGAGTGAGAAACAAAATTCATTGTTTTAGTATATTTTTGAAATGAGAGGAAATTTTTAAAACATATAGATATTCACATACATATATTCCGTATAAGCATGTGTAAAGTAGCGATTTTGCTTTAAAACTTTTCATTTTTCTTTGAGAAGTTTCTTTGTTAATTTATACTGTAAAAATTTAATGAAATATAATGATTTGTTAAATTGATTATTCACGTTAAGTAGTGTTAAAAATATATGAAATTGTCATAGAATTTCATAACTAATTTATTGCTCTGCTTTATTAAGGCAAAAAACTTTGAAATAAAATATTTTATATAAATGTATATTTTGAAAATAGAGCAATCCATACTTAATTCATTAGATAATAAAAGGCATATATTGGATTTAATAAAATATTTATTTTGCCAATATTTCGGCTGGCTGAACGCCAACCTTCATCGAGGCATCACATTTTTGTACAAAAATGTGATGCCTCGATAAAGGTTGGCGTTCAGCCAGCCGAAATATTGGCGAAATAAATATTTTATTAAATCCAATATATGCCTTTTATTATCTAATAAATGTATATATATATATATATATATATGTTGTAAGGTAATGTTGTTATCCTGTTGCATGAATGTAGTGTGGCATGTTAGTTGCAGTCGTGATGGCCAAATTATTCAGAGTGGGTTCAGGCGTGATATATATATAATATATTAAAGAAATTAGAGAAGTTTATAAAAACATTCAAATAGTTTAATAATATTTGACCCATTTTTCATATCACTATTATTATTTACTTATTTATTTGAACTATATTGCTATTTTTTTTCAGCTTTCAGAACAACAAACCGTGTGACTCAATGCTTCAACTGCCAGGGTTTCGGGCACGGTCAACTTAACTGCTTCCTGAAACAAAAATGCGTCAAGTGTGCCGAGGAGCACCATTCGAAGGACTGCCCAAGAAAGTCAAGACAACTTCCCCCAGAGTGTGCAAACTGCGAAGAAGCGCACACAGCCAATTACCGCGGATGACCTAAGTTTCCAAGAGTACATCAGCAACAGCCAAGATACCCTGGTCAGTACAAACCTAACAACCCACTTCCGATTTCAAAAAGATCTGAAACACTGCCGAAAATGGTAGAACAACAAAACCAAAGCAATGCTAAAGTTGTGACAAGAAAAACTTCTCGTTCTGAAACTAAGGACCTGTGTGAAAAATTGATGCAAGTAATCAAAACATACCTACAATGAATTGCAAATTACCTTTTAAAATTATTGCTTGGAATTGTAACGGAATCAGATCAAAGAAAGTAGAATTATTGCACTTTTTAGAAGATAACTCAATTTACATTGCTCTGCTCAGTGAAACTCACCTTAAACCCTCAATTGATCTAAAGTTCAGGAACTATCAAACCATTAGAACTGATCGAATTACAGGAAAAGGTGGGGGAACAGCCATCATCATAAAATCATTTTTTAAATATAAAAATATGCTGATTCATACTTTAAACTTTGAAAATACTTCAATTTTGATAAAACCAGATGGAAAAACACTCTTGCAAATCACAGCAATTTATAAGAAGCCTGATGCACCATTATTGGAAGAAGATTTGAACCAACTGATAAAACACAACCACTCAATAATCGTTGCAGGAGACTGGAA